GGCTTAATCAAGAAGAAACTAGCTCTAAAGCCAGCAACATCTCCAAATACAATCACAGCGTTGGGAACCGTTCTAGGACAAGAACAAGAGGGTTGGTTGCTCAAGATCTGCTCGCTGATTAGGATAAGTTCTTGTTCGTTATTCACCCAATTCAAAAGTTCAATAGTGTATAAACATGTAAGTCATTCATCTATATTTTCAAACTTTATTTGAAACTATTGTGTTAATGGTAATTGACAAGATTCTATGCTGGACATCAGGATTATGGCTAGGAACCTATAGAAAATGTACTAACAACTTCAGAGGAAATTTTTTATTATTTCTAAAAGCAGATGACCACATCTACAAATTAAATACTAGAGCTTTCTTAAAATGCAGTGTGTTATAATTTGAATTTTGTGTAAAGCGGGACTGTAATGGACCTCCTCAAGGAGGTTTTATTACTAGAACTAGACTGGAAATGGAAATAAAATCACAGAAACCTCCTGTTTAATTGGAGACAAACAGGGATGTTTATTTACTTACTTTAATAATTAATTCAGCAAGGCTAATGCCATGGAATGGAGAAGCTACTGAGATACCTTTGTTATTCTTTGATTTTTTTTCCCCCCATATTTTCACAATTAAGACTGTTTTGGACAACTATTTCCCCCAACAGCTGTGTGCAAAAGAGAGCTACGCTATTATATAGCTCAATAACTAGGCTTAGCATCTCTACGGTAAAAAAAGTACTGAATATGAATTTCAGTAAAAGGTTTTCGATTTGAATCTCATTTTGACACTTTGCTAACTGTTCTCTCAGTGAAGGGTCGCTGTGTCTCTCTTATTTGTTTCAGTCTTGAAATAATAAATTATTCCGAAGCAGAGTAGACAACCTGCCAATTGCAAGGATGCCAGAGTTCAGGTGCACCTTGTGGGTAGAGGATTGGCAGGTTGTGTACCACTCCTAGAATCCTTCTGCCAGAAGGGCTAATCTGCTCAAAGTAAAATGGGTTTCTGTAGAGACAGATAAGTACCTAACACTTGTTTTTCAACATGCAATTTGCACCACTATAAAACTGAAAACCAAAAAGAATTGGTATAGCAGGTATTGTTTCAACCTGAGAAGCAGTGACAGTAATAAAAACATCACACACAGATCTGGTGCAATAAAACTCTTGGTTTTCTGTGTTTTGTGTGGGCAACCAAACAAAGTAAAAATAGAGAAAAGAGAGAAGATGTATCACCTTGGCCTAAATGTGCTGTGTAAATCTACTGTGGTTTATTTGTAGAGCTAATGTATTAATAATAACTTAAAAATGACTAAGAAATCCCAAGAAGTTCTAGAGTTTATTACTTGTAGCAACTAAAAGTAAATATTCAAACCTATCATGAACCTACTTCAGGCTGAAAAGCCAAGATACTGGCTGTATTGTAGAATGCGAAATGAACCAAAATGATGGTATAAATTTTCAATGGCACGCCCTAGCCATGAATGTAGGTAGAAAGTCATGCTGAATCATTATCAATTTATTTAGGCAAAAATTATACCTTCTAGATTACAAAATCCATTTAAGCTAATTTTATAACCAGCATCACAAAATCAGACTGTTCATAGATATCTCTGATGCATTCTGAATGTAAGCCTGAGGACTCTATCACTATTTTACAGAAGTATATTTTACCTCTACAATGAATTGTGTGTGAAATATTGTAAGACTAAAAAGTACATACTTAATTTTTTACCCTTAAATAGGGATGGTTATTTTAAAAGATGGACCTTTAAGATGCCAGAATATCAACATTCACATCTAAAGATGACAAAGCACTCTGATATTTACCAACGTAAAATAAGCAGTTATAACTAAACTTCTGGTAAACAAGTGCCTCATTACTGTCAACACACTTGTCTTATTAGCACTGGTACAGAAACAGTAGTATGAGTAAAATATCCTTTTAAGCTAAAGTTATGGGTAAAACTACCTATAGGAATTGATCTTCCATTACTTCACCTATTCCATAAAGAAATTACTCTAGAGACCTCCAAGTTCGTTCTATTTTTTTCTCTCCCTTTATGGACTTGTTAACATGCAATCACCCAGGTGCTTTCATGCTATAAATCAAGGAGCGACAGGCAGTTTTCAGGCTCAGCTTAGTCGATTTTCTCTAGTCTTAAAATTTTATTTGGGTTTGATTTAGGCTTAATTTCACAACTACACCCAACATTTCACTTTCACGTATGAATAATTTAATTATTTGAATAGATACTCAGAATATCCATTATGAAAACTGAAAAAAATATATTGAGAAAACCCCTAAAACAATGTAGAATACATTTTGTACTTTTTATTGACTAATCTTATGGTCCATTCTTGGTTACAAAGGAAATAAGAGTAATAGCCCACAATATTCTACATGATTTATAAAATAAATCACATATGAAAATCAAAATCCCCCTCTTTCCCAAATATAATACATTGCGTTTTGGGTGCCTTGCATGTCAGTACTAAACTTCACCTAACACTGCCCCAGTCCCTTTTCGATTAGAACAGGCAAAATTTATGACCTCTTATCCTCAGTACATTAATGATCTATTGAACTAAGTTTTGATCCTTATAAAGTTAAAATACCTTTCCTAATTTATGGAAGTGCAAATGTTGTCTAAGACAGCACTGACAATAGAAATTTCTGTGATGAAAATATTCTGTATCTACACTGTTCAGTAGGTAGCTACTGAGTCTTTTGAATGTGGCTAGTGGGACTAAGGAACTTAATTTTAAATTGTATTTGAGTTAAAGTTAAATAACCACATGTATTGGGTTAATTACTACTGGTCTAGCAGTACCTTCAAACACTCAGGTAAGTGTTAAAAATGGAAGGTAGGTTATGGACAATCCAGGAATCTGAAATTATGAAAAATTATGTTTTTAAAACTCTGTCATTGGACTTCCCTGGTGACACAGTGGTTAAGAATCCGCCTGCCAATGCAGGGGACATGGGTTCGAGCCCTGGACTGGGAAGATCCCACATGCCACAGAGCAACTAAGCCCGTGTGCCTCAACTACTGAGCCTGCGCTCTAGAGCCTGCGAGCCACAACTACTAAGCCTGCGTGCCACAACCACTGAAGCCCGCGTGCCTAGAGCCCGTGCTCCGCAACAAGAGAAGCCACCGCAATGAGAAGCCCGTGCGCCAAAACCAAGAGTTGCCCCCGCTCACGGCAACTAGAGAAAGCCCGCGGGCAGCAATGAGGACCCAGTGCAGCCAAAAATAAAATAAATTAAAAAAATTAAAAAAAATAGTTAAAAAAAAAAAACCTCTGTCATTCATCCCTTCAGTATGAATTTTTCCAGAAGGTTCACAATAAAAAAAAAGTGAAACCTAAACCAACCAAATTCTTTAGGCTGCTTTTCTGTATGAATCATCTTTTTGTAAAGAGGTGTAAGACTGGTTTTGTTGCCAACTCTGCCCCCTCTTCTACAGATAGAACTGTAGTGATTAGGTTCCTGCATTTATTTAGGTTATTCTCCTAAAAAACATGGTTTCCATACTGCAAATAAATGACAGGAACTTTTCCACCTAATTACCTCAGACAACACAAATGTTCTTTCCAAAAGTGGAGACTGGAACCACAAGCCCCCTCACATTGCCTGTTACATCTGTTTATGCTCATAGAAGTGACATCCACGTCGTAGACAGGGAATACCAATTTCTTGGGAAAGCACCCAGAATTTGGTGAGGCTTGAAGAAAAAATTCCACTGTTCAAAGTAAGAGATACATAGAATTGAGCAGCTACAAAGCTCTTTTGAAATTAAGCAAGAAAAGATTTTGCTTCCAGAGTATAAATTCTGTGTATAGACTTGGCGGAGTTCGTATGCAACCATAATCATTTACTAGCGATAAAGCTATAGGTAAGTTACAAAACCTAAACCTCAGTTTTCCCATCTGTAAAATGTAGATAATAATAGCTCTGTTGGAAAAACTCCTGTAAGACTTTGAAATGGGCAAAAGATTATTGAGTGTCCTTTCAGTGGAATGCTGGATGTTATCTAAAGGACTCTGGAGTTTCATGGTTCTACAGTAGTTTGCACCTTTGCCTGCCTTTGACTTTTTACGACTCTATAAGCCCTAGAAACTTAACGATACTGTAAATGGTTCTCATCTATACATATGCAAAATTATTTTGTTCCTTAGAGATACAGTTATCACTGCCCTGTATAGGAGATAATTCAAAATATTACATTTTAGTGCCTTATTAACCAGTTTTGCCTCTTTTCTGATTTTCCATAAAGCTTTGCTCTTCACATTCTCATTTGGATGGGTTGCAATATTTTGGTGTTCCCTCCCTAACTGATGAGTCAAATAACATTTTTGACACAGCTTCATTTTACATTTCTGTTAGAGTATATTTTTACCTTCTTGAAAAATTATCCTTAAAAGTTTCTACTCCACAGTTTTTTTGAGAGTTGGTTTAAAGGTCTATATTGACGGTTATGATTGGTTTTATATTTTGCAGTAAGGCTGTAACACTTCCGAAATTTTTGATGGGGAAAGGAGGGGGTAACTGAGCATTTATAAAAGGGGAGTCTGAAAAGCTCTTTCCTGATAAGAAAGTCAGAAGATTTCCTCACCTCTTTCCTTTTAGCAGCGGAAGGTTAAGGTGGGTATTAGGCGAAGTACAAGTGGGCTAAGCGGAGGAGTGGAGGCCACTCTGGATCTGGGCCTAGGTGCCGGCCTTCCCTGCCAGGAGCGTGGCCCAGGGTTTTGGATGCCCTGGGGTCACGGAGTTAACGGCAGACTTCGTGGGGCCCCAGCAACAGACAGCCCAAGAACCCAGTTCTCGCGAAACCAGGACCCGAGCTGAAGGGCAGGATTTGCCCCAGGCCCGAGGGGCCCCTCGCCCACGGCCGAGGGGGTGGGGCGGCCTCGCCTCGGGCCGGTGCTTTTCGCCCTCCGTTGGCCGCCAGAGGCTCCCTCTCTCTCCCTCTCCTGGGATTTTGCTGCCGGGCTCCCTCTCTCTGCGGCCCTAGAGTTAATCCCATCAGCCGAGGTGAGGCACCTGTTACCCCGGGCCTTCCTCACCCCCGCGGCCTCTCCCCCGTTACACCGCCGCTACGCCGCCAGCCAAACGGCCCGGCGCGGGCGGCCGCACGTGGGCGAAGCCCCTGCCCGGGCTGGGACCCCCTCCCCAGGTCGGCCCGAGTGTGCGAGTTCGTCGGGGCCCGGGCCGCCGCCCGCCCGCAATGGCGTTAGGGAGCGCAGCGCGCCTCCCGGGGCCGCCCGCCGCGGGCCGGGCGCGCGTGGGGGGCCGCGGCGCGCGTGGAAGCGGCCGCCGCAGCCGCCCATCGCGCTGCGCCGGGAGGAGCGGGTGGAGGGGCAGCGAGCGGGCCGGCGCCGAGCCGAGCCGCGGCCACCGTGGGGCGGGGGGCGCCTCGGAGGCGGGGGTGGGAGCCGCGGCCGCCCGACCCTCCCCACCGGCGGCGGCTCCCGCTCGGGTAAGGGGGAGGATGTGCGCGGGGCGAGGAGCTGGGGAGGGCGGAGATGAGGAGGAAAAAATCGGGATGTACAAAGGCTGAGTTGCAGGCTGAGGGTGGGGGTGGGCTGCGGTTGGGGAGCGTTAGGTTGAGGATCTGAGGCAGTATCGGTGGGATCTATTGTTTCCTGGCACACTGGGAGGAAAAACAAAGGGATTTATTAGTATTACCCCGTAATTTTTTTTCTTCTTCTTTTTTTAATGTGGACGGGGAGCTCGGCTCTCCCCATGCCACACTGGGATCCGCCTGGCAGCCGCCGGGAGCCGCAGCCAATGTGTTAGGACTTCAGGTGCTTCTTGGCACAAAGCTAGACAGCGACCTCCTACCATAGCGCTTGGCGTCACCTGCTCTCCCGGCCCTGCCCCTGCCCGGGGCCGAGGGATTGCGTCCCGAACCAGGCTCGGGAATCGGCTGTCTCTCAAGTTGGTGTTATTTATGTTTGTCTTTTGTGAGGGCAGGTTTTGAATACCCCGGCGGCCCCAGCGCCCCCGCCCCCCGCCCCTTCGGGTTCGAATTGGCGGGGGAGGGAGTTGGGGGGGGGTGTTGGGGGGAGGGGAGGGTGTGTATGGCTTAAATAAATGTCAGGGTAGAAGGAGATTGTCGAAGCTTGACAAAAAAAAACAGGCACCACACTCTGAAGCCTTTCTTGTTTGTCTGCATGGGCCATGCATGCGTGCTGGGCCAGGAGCCGAGTCTGGAGACGGTTTAAGTAAAAGTGTGTGCTTCCTCGTCTGATGGTGCGTGAGGGTGATAGGGCTCCGCCTAATATTAAAAAACAAAACAAAAACAAAATGAAAAATCTTTAGAGCTACAACATCTGCTCCTCAGCGGATCTTGAAGTATTTGCCTGCTGGCATATTGATGTGAAATACAGCTGTGGGCTAGAGGAGACCAGCCAGCACGTATTGCGTTGTATTCTGAGCTTGTAGTAAGTTAGAGGCAAGTGTAATAAACAAATCAGGGCTATGAAAAGAGGTTTCATGGTCCTTTATTTTCTGATCCTCACGTTCTCATACATTTATTCCCATGATATCCTGTATCCCACTCTATAATTAGTAATGTTCACTCTTAGGAAACTTCCAAATATTTGATGTGGTTCTGAACTTAGAGTGAAACTTACTGCCATTTAAGAACTTTCTTCTGTTTGTTTTGGTCTGAAATTGCACTAGTGTTGTTTTGGGGATGCTGTAGATGAGAATATTGGACCAGAAAGAGTGAAATAAGCCTCTGTAGACACGTTTTGGAGTTTGTAAACATAGATTCTGAACTTTCAATTGTGCTTGTATAGAAAGAATAAGTTCTACCTGATGTGGAGAATCTCAAGTGAATTTCATTTTTCTGGACAGTTTGATGATTTCTTAAATATCTAGGAACTGCTGGTTTCTTTTAAGGTCATTCACAAAACCAACCAAAACTTGGGCTAAAAGTATTGCTTTGAAGTGTACTTATGTGTCACTCGTATGTGTGTATGTGTGTGATTTTGGTAGGGATCTCAAGTTATGTTTGAAACAGCTTTGTTACCAAAGACCAATCAGAGTTATAACTTTTAAATTCTTGGCTTTGAAATTCCCATTTCAATATGTAATTTCTTCTTATTTGACATGTGGCCAAGCCACTTTGGAAAAAAAATGTATAATAGTTGACTAACCGTAAATTCAAATAAGTAAATGAATTCAGAAATTCGTTCTTTTCTATTACAGATGAACCTCTAGTCTTGCTTTGAAAAAGCCATTTTGTGTAACTCTTGACTGCATAATTTCCTAATACACCTGTTGGGAGGATCACTGACACAGTATGCCATTTGAGAGGTACTTTTTCTTGACCAGATACTGGTGATTAGAGAAGAGAGGTGTTTTGTGGTTTTTTTTTGTTTTTTTTTTCCTGATCATTATGAACACTGGCTTTTCACCCCTGAAATAAAAATGTTGAAAACCGAGTCTTCAGGTGAACGTACCACTCTCAGAAGTGCCTCTCCTCACAGGAATGCATATAGAACTGAGTTCCAGGCACTGAAAAGTACCTTTGACAAACCCAAGTCAGATGGGGAACAAAAAACAAAAGAAGGTGAGGGATCCCAGCAGAGCAGGGGAAGGAAATATGGCTCCAATGTCAACAGAATTAAAAATCTATTTATGCAGATGGGTATGGAACCCAGTGAGAATGCTGCAGTCATTGCCAAAACAAGGGGGAAAGGTGGATCTTCATCCCCTCAGAGGCGAATGAAGCCCAAAGAATTTCTGGAAAAAACAGATGGCTCAGTTGTTAAGTTGGAGTCCTCTGTTTCAGAACGAATTAGTAGATTTGACACAATGTACGATGGCCCTTCATATTCTAAGTTCACAGAAACTCGCAAGATGTTTGAGAGAAGTGTGCATGAATCAGGACAGAACAACCGCTATTCCCCAAAGAAGGAGAAAACTGGAGGGAGTGAACCTCAGGATGAATGGGGTGGTTCTAAGTCCAACAGAGGCAGTACTGATTCCTTGGACAGCCTTAGCTCCCGGACGGAGGCTGTCTCCCCAACTGTGAGTCAACTGAGTGCAGTATTGGAGAACACCAATTCCCCCAGTGCCATCATTTCTGAGAAGGCTGAGAACAGTGCATACTCAGTGACTGGGCATTATCCCCTGAATTTACCGTCGGTTACTGTTACAAATCTTGACACCTTCGGGCACCTTAAGGATTCTAATTCTTGGTCTCCTCCAAGCAAACACAGTGACGATGCAGAGGATGCTCAGAAGAGTAATACAACTCCAGTACTAGAAGTGGCTTCGAAAAGTACCTCTCTAGCTTCAGTGCCCAGTGAAGAGGCACAGCAGAGCAAGGAAGCCGAGGACCCCACATCTAACCAAGAGACTCCTGACAGAATTGACAGAGACATTCCTGAAGGACCTTGTGCTGAAAACAAGGCAGTTACAGAGCCTGAAATCCCTTCACCACAAAACGAACCTTCAGAAGACGCAGAAGCTCATTTGGTTGGGAGTGAGGCAGCAATGCAACAGAAGAAAGAACTTGCAGGTGGTGATTTTACCTCTGCTGATACATCTAGATTCAGATGTGGAAAGGAAGTATTCGAAGATTCAAATAATTTCGGGAGCTCCCATGTTTACATGCACAGTGACTATAATATATATAGGGTGAGATCCAGGTATAATTCAGACTGGGGAGAAACAGGCACTGAACAGGATGAGCAGGAAGATAGTGATGAAAACAATTACTATCAACCTGATATGGAATACTCAGAAATCGTTGGATTGCCAGAAGAAGAAGACATCCCGGCAAATAGGAAAATTAAGTTTAGTAGTGCTCCAATTAAGGTAAGTATGTTTTCTCAGTTTGTTTTTGAAGTTTTTTCTAAGTTTTTTGTTTGTTTGTTTGTTTGTTTTTTAGTATTTGGGCCTGACTGTATGTAGACTAGCTTTGACAGCTATAAAGAATTCAAGGTTGTTGATATACACATGTTGTCAGGTGATTTTAAAAGTTTGGAGTTTGAGAGATATTATTTCCTGATGTGCTTTATAGTTGTATAAACCAGTACTGAGTAATACTGAAGTTGAAGAAGTTTGGGGATTTTGAGAGACATTCCAATGGACGGGTGTATGAATAATATGAACACTGAAAACCAGGAGTGTTAGTTTGAAAGAGAATTACTTCTTTAACTAGTTTTACTTGAAATTACCCATGAATAATAAAATTATCTGAATCGAAACACTGTAGGATATGAGGTATAATGTACAAAGGGAGAGTTATGATAACCTTGAAATAATATTCTTTATTTACTTGCTTAAAAAATCCGAGTTATCCCTTACTTAAGTGTAAGTGGATTGTGAGGAATGTTGGAACTTTTTTTTTTGTACTGCTACTTGGTAGTGAATGTTGGATTCGTGGAAATACGTTAGCGGACTTAAATACTTTAATTGGAAACTATGACTCTAAATAGCTTTGAGTTCAGAATTTGTTATATGGCTTTAAAATGAAATTGTGTGAAAAGATGTTAAATTGATTTGCCATTCATGGATTTATTTTTACCTCTTAAAATCTGGATAAATGCCAATTGAATTCAGGCGCTCTATTCTAATGACTTCACTTAGTTAACATTTGGAATAGAAGAATAGCACAAAGTACATCCGCAGCGGGTGGTGAAACATTATTAGCTGATAATGGCAGTGGGACAGGAGGTGTTTGGTTGAGTATCAGAATCTCCTGGAGTGCTTTTTCAAAGTGTACTTGTCCATCGGCTCAGCCCCAAGATGCTGGCATGCCCTCCTAGGGGAATCTGGGGGGTTGTCGTGGCAGAATGTGTAGTTTGAAACCACTTTCTAGGGGCTTTTAGCTTACACAGTGCGTATATATGATAGATTTGGAATTAGATCTGGTATCTTCTTAAATTTTCTCCTCAAAATCTAAAGTCACTGTCTATTGTTATTTCCATCTTATGAAACTTTCATATAAGGCTTTAAGATATATAATTTACCTAGCAAAGATAAATATGACCTTTCTGTAAGTATGAAATAAACTAATAATCTATGAAATTATTTACTGGTGTTAGCAGGCAAACTTTTCTTTCATAGTGTAAAGCAAAAGTTCTGGGTCAGAATGGGCCATGTCAAGTTAAACTATGTTTGAAATAACTACTGGAGTTGTGAATCTAGTTTCTAAGTAAGCTAAGTTTCTTCCGCTGCCCTTTCCCACCTCCCTTTGTCATTCTCTCCCCTACCCCCCAATGGTAGGTACTCTCTTTAGACTTGCCTTTCCCTCAGGCCTATCCAGCCAGCTTCTAAATTTCATCTTTTACATCCGCTTTGCAGGTGCTCCCCTTGGAACATCATCTTTTTACCCCTGAGGAAGAAAGCAATAAGATTAAATTGTTATGCATTGAGCAAGGCAGGAATAACTGAAATGAACTCTTCAGGGAGTTTGTTAAAACCAGTGGCTGAGTCCCTAATGGGGGATAGCAGTTTATGAAAATTTGGCAACCAAATGGGGCACCAGCCTTGTATTTGGGTCCTATGCTGCACAATATGTAACTGCATAGTAATAGGTTTAATGGATTTTAAAGGATTTATCATTGAAATTTGGATGCTCTTTTGTGAACAAACCAGGTTTTGGGTGTGATACTTTGAAATTGAAGTGATTTTTTTTTCTGCCATTTATAACAATAAGCATTTTGCCTCTGAATTTTCACGTAATAGACTGTGTATTTCACGTAACAGGGAACGAACTAGATTACATACATTTAAGTTCAACACATTTCATTAAGAATATGGATCAAGCATCAGATTTGTGAAAGGTAATGTGCTGCGTTTTAGTGGGCAGTTAACAATACTAGTTGGAGTGGATTAAGTTTGCAAACAGAAGATTCATTCTTAGCCCTTTGTGGTGAATAAGACAATTACTCTTTCTTGTTCCCGTTGTTTAACATGTAAGTGGATTCACTTGGAAATTTTGAGTGCTACTTTTCTACTGGTGATGATGGGAGTGTTCAGATTATTCTCCAGTTAAGATTTTTGCCTCAGAGAGTGGTAATAATTAAATTCAGTAAGTGTTTATTGAAGGCTTATCATATGTCTATTCTCATGCTGTTAGCTGCAGAGGACACAAAAATCTATAAGGTTCCCTCTTTCCTCTGTGAGCTTGTAGATTCAATTCTTAAACACATGGTATTTAAAACCCATGAAACACAGTGTGAAAACCTGTGCTGAAATGTCTAATGTCCTATGAGTACTTTAACTGTTCTTGGCTATACTAAATGCATGGAGTGAACAGGATTTGGTAGATCATTTGGAAGGGAATACACTCAGCCATTCCCTATGTGTGTTTCCTTATTCTTTTTATAAATATATATTTATGGAATGGAAGTTATGATTTCCAACTTAAATCTTTTCCTTTGAAACTTAAACACATTCCCTGTTTTAGAAGTAATAGGGAGCATATTCCTTACAGAAATGATTTTTAGAACTTTTACATTCTTTTCCCGATAGTCTCATCTTATTCTTCACTAGAGTAAACATTCTCAACGCTTTTGGTCTTTTGTTTTAGATCTTGTGTGTGTGAAACAATGTCCTCAGTTTCTATTTCAGTTCTTCTATGGATGTTTTAAATAGATATTTCCCTAAGATGTCTTAAATCTGAACCTAGAAAAATATCAAAATAATAGCTGATCTTTCCTGTGTAGTATATCCCTTATGTATAATTTTTGGTGACTTTTAGAAATGGTCAGATAGTTTCTTAATGGATAGGTTAATGTGTTTCATAGTGTCATGGAAAGTTAGAATGGAATTAATAATAGAAAATGTAAAATCCAACTTCGAGATATGGAATGAGGGAGTGTTAGGAAGATGCTAATTTGAGATGTGGAATTATACCTTCATTCTCAGGAATTTCTCAGAACCAAGGAATTGAATTAAATTTGTCTTAGATAAATCAAAGATAGAAAGGGTGACATTTAAAATTATTTTTTCTATTAATTCAGAACATTTATTGAGCCCTTACTATGTGTCAGGAACAATGCAAATGTAATAAATACATAAAATGACTGGAGCTGATCAAGTCAGGAACCGGTGGTCGGTGGGAGGTGTACAGCCCATTAAAGTCACTTCTTAGGTCATTCTGCTCAACTCTGTTCTTGGATGATCTTTCTAAGATCATCACTGCAATCTTGTTAAGGAAGTCATGACTCTTTTTCTGTTTTTGGTAGCCTTATGTCCTTTGGATTGGTGTTCTTGAAACATAGCATATCTGAAAAAGGTTATTTTCCTAATTCCCAGCAAGATGAAATTGCTGGGTTAATGTTGGGATACATAATGCTATACTCTTCTGTGTGTTTTCTCAAGTTGCCTCGAGCTTTACAGAGCTGGTGTTCAAAGGAGAGTCACCAAGGGCAGCAATGCTTCTCTGAGACTTACATGATAGTTGTTGAAAATGGGTTTCTTAGCATTCTCTCCCTCTTTTGGGGCTCTGAGTTATTGTCAGGGGGTACACGAGGCCTTTTATTCAGGATGGTGTTCTGAGCATTGTTCTGAAATCCAAATTTCTGTCTTTGTGCAGCGTTTTCTTTCTAACAGTCCTGCTCAGTGCTTCTAAACTTGAATTTGCATATCAATCACCTGGGGACCTTTTAAAATGCATATTTCGTATTCAGTAGTTGTTTTGTAGGAAATTACCTTGATGCAGTGGTTAGCCTCCAGGTACACTCCCAGCTATCCTGGAGGTATGGAATAGATAGGCTCAGCAACCAAATTTAAATGCCTGAATCACACGATTTATCAAATTAGTTTAAAACACACAGCCAGAAGCAAGAGGAAAGCAGTGAGGGGTAAGTTAACACACTTAAGGTGCAAAAGAGATTGGAAGGAAGGACCACACTACCTGAGTCCTGGGTACACAAAATTCATGTGTCCTGTCCCTCTCTCTTTTGTATCAGCCTTTCCCATTGATGGTGTGGTTATGAGGACTAGAGTTGATATTTGAGCAAGAACTCCACAGACTCATGATGCCCTTGGCATCGTACTTCCTGGGATACATACTTGCTGTATGGAAGAGAGTGGGGACAAGTACACTTAGATACAGCTGTAGCTTTGCCAGTTTGCCTGCTGATGAGCCATGGGCGTTGTTTGCATTTCTTGGTTAGAGCACCTGTGGGTCCCAGAATAGGATCATACTGGGTGGCCGATATGGAGATGGCGTACCTGTCAGAGCAGAGATGGTATGGTAATGACTTGGTCTTTCCACCCCTTTCTATCTACAAGTAAATCTCTTGTTTGTTCCACAATATTTTCTACTTTGGAATGTCTTACAGGTTACTAACTTATCTATTTTGAACATATCTTGTAACTTTTGTCTTGGCCTTACAAGCTCTCATTATCTATACTTAACTGAGTCTCTGAGTATTAGCTCACTTACCATCAGTGATTATCACTTCTTAGAGTTTCACCCATTCCATTTGTTTTCTTGACCTTTATAACAGAATTTAATATTCTCAAGGAATATAGCAAACTCTCAAACAGTAGGTCCGGGGTGAGATTTTGCATTTCTAACAAGCTCTCAAGTTGGTGCTGATGCTGCTGGTCACTATTTGCAGTATGATTTTGAAGTATAATCTTCTGCCTTCTGAAAGGGGCTTGTAACGAAATGTTGGGGAAGCTCACTTAACAGATTTGCTTTACAGATGGGTCTGCTGTAGCTGGTTGTATGGGATAATATTCTTTGAAGATGAAACAGGTGTAAATTTGTAAAGTGCACGAAGCACTCTGTTTCTGGATACCAAAGTGGATTATGAGCCCTAAATTCATAAGGAGTTTGGGTCATTAAAAAGTCA